ATCTGAGAATACCATTTTGACATGGATTTTGACTAAAAATATTGCCAGATTAGTATTCAGAATTGCTAATTGGGCCAAACCATGAACAAAAGGCCAAAGCTTATTTTAACCGGATGAGATTTAATAGAATTGAGGGTGTACAATATTGATCCATGTCCAGGATACAGGCGGTATAGCCCGTGGCACGTATAAAATCGTTGAAAATGAGCTTGATGGAAATCGGGCAAAACTTTAAACTTAGCCGAAAAATCTTTGAATTGCATTTTCTACCGTGGAATCTTGGATTCTGCGAAACCCCCATTTCCACCAAGGTGCAGTGGATTTTCCAAAGTGTGATAAACCTCTCAAGTGAAACCCTTTAACGTCAACTTTCATTACAGTCACACTCTCTGTTCGGCACTCGTATATGTTTTATTTGAACGATACAATCAAGAAACTGTTCACCACACGTGATATGGTCATTTCGCCCTCGGTGACTGTAAATTTTGAGAAACTGATCACCATACCAGACTTTTGGGACTATTTGATCTATAATTTCCTGGTGATACTACACGGCGATATGACCGTCGTTAACCCCGATGGTACACAAGCTGAAAATGAAGATGATGACGAGCAAGCGCCACCAGCAACCAATGAACCAGAAGACAATGAAGCAGACAATGAAGCACCGGGCGGTGAATCAGAAGACAAACCACCTGACAATTCAGATGGCGATGGCGGTGGCGGTGCCAGGGTCAAGCGTCTAAGGTCAGGTTATCAGAATCATTTTAATAGACGACAGAGCAACTTGACACGCCTCGAAGGCCGGGTCTTTTTGCACGAGAACCTGTTGCTTGGACCGCCACGATTACGCCAGATACGTGTACGCAAGGATAGCTGCTATGTGAACGATGCATTTATACGATATTTCAACACGTGCTATGCCGAATTTTCATCCAGCGCGGAGGAGATTGTAAAGGAACACGGCGGTGCACCATACAAAACAATGGGGCAATTGGATTCGATGCCATTGTGGACAACCCTGGGCTTTTATCGTTCCGGTGGCTATACCGTCGATTTGACATACAGTAAAAAGAAGAATCTAAATACCATCAAGGAACTAATGCGAAATCATTGGTTGGATCGCGGTTCGCGTCTCTGTCTGATCGAGTTCAATCTGTACAACGAGAATACAGACATCTTTCAGAGCGCCAAGTAAGTCGGGCACAGAATTGACTTCTTAATGCTCTTCTCCTTTTGCATACATTTTGGGGGTGACACCCAATATTCTAGTTCACATTTAAAAATTACCTAATTTTCAGATTTATTGCAGAAATACCACCCACCGGTGGGGTCATACCGCAGAGTCAGCTGCAGACAGTTAAACAGTTCTCTTTCATAACGGACAAAAGTCTGTCCATGTCTGTTGTATATATATTCTGGTATATTATGGTTGTGTACTATAACATCTACGAGATCAATGCAATGCGTAAATGTGGCCTCAAGAATTATTTTAAATCCATACTCAATATGCAGGATTTGCTTATACAACTGGTAAGTCTCTCTTCACACACAATCTGAGCTGACCTGAGCTCGAATAAAATAAACTCTATCGCAGTTTTGTTACCTGGCTCTGGTCTATAATATTTGGCACACGTTCAAAATCAAGTCTTTGGTCTCTAGACTGCGATTCGAGGAAAGCTATCAGAGTTTAGATACTCTGTGCTTTTGGAATACCATCTATGTGGATATGATGGCCATTTTGGCATTTCTAGTCTGGATCAAGATCTTTAAATTCATCAGCTTCAACAAGACGCTCGTGCAGTTCACAACCACATTAAAGCGCGTAAGTCTCTACATTAAATTTTCCACCAGTTTCCTTCTAGTTTTTCCATCCTTAGTGCTCCAAGGACTTGGCTGGTTTCAGCCTTATGTTTGGCATTGTGTTTCTGGCCTATGCTCAGCTGGGTCTATTGCTGTTTGGCACGAAACATCCAGATTTTCGTAATTTTGTCACCTCCATTTTAACCATGATACGCATGATTCTTGGCGACTTTCAATATAATCTCATTGAGGACGCGAATCGTGTGCTGGGACCCATCTATTTTCTAACCTATATTCTGTTGGTCTTCTTTATTTTACTGGTAAGCGGGAAATTCCTTTTATATATATTTTTCGGAGAGAATTAATTATTATTTCATGCGTCTTATTCCTCTAGAACATGTTCTTGGCCATCATAATGGAAACATACAACACGGTTAAGAGCGAAATAACTCAGGGTCGCAGTCAGCTTGGCTCTTATATCTATAAGAAAGTAACTGGTTTCCTATATTACGTCATGCACTGCGGTCGTAAGCGTCAACAACAATCTGCAAGGCCGCAGCGACATGAAGCTGACGAGGATCTACCAGATGATTTGGCCTCCAGTCGCTACCAACAGCCCAAGGTTCAATTGCGCAGAAATATGACAGAGGCAGAGTAAGTTTTAATATTGAAAACATAATTCAAATAATTGCTAAAAAAAAAATAAATACTCTTTCTACAGAGCACAGTACTTTGAAGATGTGCCAAATGATGTCAAGGACAAGGACATGTTTCGGTAGGCACAGCTTAATTTAAATATATTTTTATATATTTAAACTTCATTTTCTTTCTATCAGTCTTAACAATCGCGTTTCCCTGTTGGAGGAAATTTTGGAACAGCTGGTCACAAATATGGATGCCATACTGAAGCGTGTGGAAGATGAAGTCAAGAAAAACAAATAATAATCCTGAACAACTATGAAGCATATATGAAGCAGGAATATAGTATAGAATCTATAGTATGAGCATTTTGTGTTTGTGCCTTAAAGGAATTTGAATAAAATACATGTATGCATAAATCTGCTTTATTCCTTGAAATTTCTCACCTTTATAATCGAGTAAACTTTAAAATAAACAAATTAATTAAGTTCGGTCCGCTGAACACCCAAGCAAAGCAACCGCAAAAACCCACTGCGCTAATCTGTGCCAAATCTGAAGCACGCTCACCCACCTCCCGCTTTTTCCTACCCACAAGGCCATAACGAGGTTTTAAAAAAGGGCACAACAAAGCGTTGCCACCAAATATATCTGTTTAGATAACGGTAAGGGACCCAGTATGCTAAAGGACATGTGGCTCGGGCGGGCGGGGAGCATCATTAACTATCTGCGTGTAGCAACCGCTTGCTGGGACTAGGGTACATGCAACACGCTCCAGCCGCCCCTTTGCGGTTGTGGCACGTGTGTGGCAAGCGGTAACAGCTGTGTTGAAAGCACCAACAATGGAGAACAAAAAGGTGAAAAGTTATTAAGCAATTTGTATTTACAAATTGCATTTAAGCAACGTGTAAAGTAACGAAATGCAAAAGAAAATATGACGTGCATGAAGTGGAAACTAATGCGAAAACCCAAATTTCATAGAATTAACAAATATGCAATACAAAAATGTGAACAAAAGTCTTGTGTACAAATCTTTCCATGGAGCACACAATTATCTTAGGGAAATAATGTGACGATAATAAAAATACAGAATATAAAAGGATGCAAGCATTAACTAAGTAAAATGTATATATATATCAGACCCGGCGAAAAATAGTACAAAATATTATATAAGATGTCAATACGCTGATCAGAACAAAAATGGCACCCAAAACTTTGTGATTATTGAAACGCATCGAATTCGAATCGAAACTAAAAACTTTATAAAAATGGAATCTCCAAATCAGGTGAAGTCCAAAATACACTTCATAGCAGCCTTTCATAGTAGCGCAGACAGTAAAAGAAATAAAGACTGCACATGATAATTTAATATATAATTTATTAAACATTTTTTAACAGTGCCGTCTGTAAAAATATGTATACCCATGCGTAGCCATACACATGTCTCGTTCTGGCCTGCCATCAAAGTTGCACACAATTCATTCTGAAATCAACCGCATTCCAAAGGTAAATACGCAATAAAAGAATATTTCTTGCCATAGTTCAATGCAAAAACATTCAAAATAATCGAGTATGTACAAACTCTTACATATCAAATAGATCATATTTAACGTGCATACACTCGTATTATTTAGCTTCTGTTAATACATATACAAAATACAAATTGAAAAGTTGCCATCATCGTGGTATTAACAGTTATGTAAATACAAATGCGAAGCAGAGAGAACCGGAGCAGACAGATTGCGCTGACAGCGCTGCCGGCGTTGCAAGGGCGCAGCAGTGCGATGCCGCCAATTGGCACTTGAAAAGGCGCCAATTGCCACAGGATAACTAACGAGGGGGGGGGTGCGGGCGAGTGGTGCAAGCGGGTTGTGGCAACGCCATAATTACTTACCTTTATGCTTTATGCATGCACAGAAAAATGTTAAAATGTTTCTGCTATGCTGATCATAATGATCAAGACGATGATGATGATGCTGGGTTGTTGGCAACGGGCCAGTTCGAGTGGCATTGCCTACTACCTCAGCCATAATGTACAAATATGTTGGCCACTTGTGCATTCAATGGGCCTGCAATTCGCCCAAACAACAGCAGCAAAACGAACACGAAAAAAGCAAGTGATTAACCGTTGCGAATGCTCAACTAGAAAATACCCTGCAAGCAACGCCATTGCAATGATTCTCACTAAGTTAAAATATATATATCACTCGCATATACACACGCACACATACAAGCTGGTGATAAATATACAAATACGTTTTAGAGCATCGGCGATGCCTCCTCTGCCTGTTACATACATATGTACATTTTCACTAAACCAGTATACCCTCTTCCACACATTTCCAATGGGTATAGGGTTACAAAATAAAAGAAGAAAAATTCGTAAAGTGTCTGCACACAAGCGAAAGCAAAATGAAATTGACGCGTAAATATTAAAACAGGTAAATATAAAATGAAATGGCAAAAATTACAACTGCTTTTCTGCTATTTGCACACAACATAAATCAACAGTTCTTTAAAGTTATCAATTCTATTAAATAAATGTGTATGTATGTACTTACCATCATATAACTCCAAGTACATACATATTTATTGCTGTAATATTCTGAGCACTCGCGCTGACCGCTCTTTAATTCCGTTATTTTGTTTTGCACTATTCTTTGCGCGTCTCTTTCGCGCGCACGTTTTCTGTGTGAGAGAGCGCAGCCACGCTTTGCAATTAAAACCAAACACTAATAACAACTTTTAACTGCCTTCCATTAAACCAATTTTCACTTTGTTTACCAAACACACAATTTGTTGAATTATTAAACATAGTATTTAGAGTTTTTACGGCTTCGGCCACTGATAACTACGATGCTGGGTCACGGCTCGCCGAACTCGCGACGAAAACTGTCTGCACATAACAGCTTACTGTTTACGTTAACAGTGAAAGCTCAATCAATGCTAAGATCATGTTAAGCATCTTCCTGATTTGTAGACATACATATGTTAAGTCCTGATGTTGTCAGTTGGACCGCTTGACAGCCAGTGCGTGATATTTAAATCTAAATACATAAATATAAATGTGAAAAACAGAGAGATGTTATTGGCATTTTACACAGTATATAACATTTCAAGAACTTGCAACAAATTAGATTTGAATATAATTTTATGGATTTACTAAAATACTTTGGGCACAAGCTTAAGCCAATTATTTGTCGGTACCTTAACAGCAGCAGAAAAATAAAATGTTAAGCTGTTCAAGCTTTAACAGACCAACCTTACAGCCATGTTAAGCTGTTATTGTTTTAACAGCGCAGACTTAACAGCTGCCTGTTAAAAGTAACATTCAACTGCGGCAGCATAAAAACATTTCAATAAGCAGCTTAGTCCTTGCTGTTATAAAAAAAAAATGCAACAGGACAAAAGGATAATGCGTAATTAACTGGCCATAAGTTAACCATTAATTAAACGCACAACTCATTAATGGCAAGTGTTTTTTTTTTCCCCTTTTTTGTATGTGAACAAAACATTTTATCAACACTTTCCTGTCAACATTTTCAATACAGCAAAATTGAATCAATGGAAAGGGACTATTATGTGGAGCATAAAAAATAATATGTGGGAATAATGATGCCATTTATGTAGGTGACCATTTGTCAACTATTATTCTTCAACTTACCCCGTGTAGTGTTTAGTCCAACGAGAACAACGTGAAGCGAATAACAGTGTGGGAAAATGCGGGAGTTTTTGTTCCACAGGACAGTCGATTTTATAAGCCAGACTCTTTACCAAATCTGCCGTTTCTGTGCCTTTGGCTATTTTGCGTACAATGAGGAAACGGAAAAGTTATATATTTGCCAGCATACGGCTTTAAGGAAATACATTACCTGGACTATAAAAATCGTTTTGTTGCTGTTCGACTATCTAAATTACGTTTATATGCTGGCTGATATTTTCGCCCATATGCTTGGTAACATTTCGGAAAAGAGCGCCGGATACAATTTCTATCTGGAGACCTCTATTTACTGTAATGTCAACTATCAGTGCCTGCGAATGATATATCTCCTGCACAGTTGGCCGATTAGTGGAGCCTATGTAATGGTGATAAATAAGATCATGGAATTGCATAGAAATATGTGCTCAACATTTGATAGATCCAATTTTACGCTTGAGCATAATATTCTCATCATTTCTGTCGTCGAATTCAGTTTGACTCTGCTTCAGATATGGAATCAAATGATGACTAGCTACATTCTTCTGGTGTTCGTCTATCATTTGGTCTTATTTGAGCTATTTTATTGGGCCTACTTTCTCTATCAGTTGATTTTGATTGCCTGGCACCAGGTATTGCTCAATTTGCTCAGTTCCTATGCCGGGAATCGTAGGCCCAACAAACGTGATCGCCATCAGCTAATGCTCTTTTACGGCTTTTATTTTCGTATGTGCGCGATACACGGCCACATTACACAACACTGGCTGAAGATAGCGGGCGGGCTGTTCGCCAGTATTGCCATCTTATCGGCGGATATTTCCGAAGAACTGTTTGATATTATCTATAAACAAAAGAGTCCTTTGGAGAAGTGGAAATATTTTGTGGTCTACAAGATAGGCAATTGCTTGACACCAATAGTAAAAATTTTCCTCTTGGGCCTATGCAATAATCGCATCGAGAAACTGACCAAACTTCTGGGTCAACAAATCTATCTGATTGAACTGTTGCACTGGAAGAGATCTCTGGACAAGCTGCCGTCAATTAAGAGAAAACCTTTTACCAGTCTGCTGGCTTCTAAGGTGAGTAAATTAACTATTCGATGGATTCGATAAATATTTCATATTTTTTACAGTTCAACTGCTTTGTCCTGCAGCAGCACACACGTCCGATACGAAATCATATTTGGCACGCTGGACAAACGATAAATATCGAGTTTCTACTATTATTTATATGGCTAGCATTTTTAAATGCAATGTCAACTTTGCAATACGAACTGACAAAGAAGTCAAATTTTTTAACTTAACTTCTTTTAAGCGAGCTGTGCTCCGATTTCCAACACTGCGAAATCCTTAAAGCGACTTAATAAAGCTCCAAGGTTACGTCTAGCGTTTTTTTTAGTGCTGTATATTGCTAAAAAGTTTTTAATGTCTTTCAACACTTTTAAATGTTCACCACTAATGAGAATTCTTGAAAGTCGAAAACTTGTAAATAACGAAATATGTATGTACTTTTCGAAGAAATTGGACAAAAAGCATAGCATACCTTACGGAGCAGAAAATTGTAGGAACCGCCATTTCAATACTAGATGCATTAAACTGAAATAATAAAATAATACAGTTAAGTACAGATAAAGCAATATAATAGTGCCTTAAAATTAAAGCATTGTCGTATTATATTTTCATATTTACCTCAACGAAAATATATTACGGCTAATTATTCAAATGATGTGCCCCATCATTAGGGCTCAACTCTTGATGGCCACACTACTCACTCATCCAGGACACTCTGGTGAGCCTTGGAAGTGGAACTGTAACTGTGGAATTGACGACTTGAAAAGTCAGTTATTCTCGATGGAGCGGTTGGAGCGGTACCTATTCGAGTGGAGCGTTAGAATCTTGTGCAATACACTCTATAGAGCGTGTCGCTTCGCCGGTTTCGGGCACTTTAAATACAATAGAAGAGCTCGAAAATATTGCATTCATAGGCCTAGTCGTAAACTTAAATGGTTCGTTAAGCTCTGTTTACTATTCATGGACGATCACAACATAATTGGCATATTATTTTTTATGCTAACAAACTTTAGCCTAAAAACGCCTTTTCCGAAAAGTCGAGACGGTTTTGAGGCGTTTTTGTTCTATGCGACGCTGTTTTTGGCCAACTGTCAGCTGTTGTGCCTGTTTTACCCGGCACACAGTCAAAAGTACAGTGAAGCCTGCCTGTTGGCTATTAACAAATTAATGAAACTACATCAAATTGTGAGATCGAGCTGCGGAGGTTGTAAATTTGCCACCGAAACTTGTATACTAGTGTTTTTTATAGTACAATATGCTTTTACAACACTGCAGCTACTGCACGGATGGTGGCAACCCTGGATCTTAACATACAACTTACTGTTATTCGAAATATATTTCTGTGCCTATTTTGTCTATCAGCTGCTGTTAATGGCTTGGCTCCGGGCTCTGTTAGCCCACTTAAGTGAATATAATTTGAATCCTCAACTTGGACTCTTTCCAAGCTCTCGCTATCGTCGTCAGCTGATGCAGTTTTATAGGGTATACACACGACTGAATCGGCTACATAGGAGCATTAGTCAACTCTGGCTGCAGGTAGCCGGCGTGCTTCTTGTCGGCATCCTAACGTTAGCTCAAGACTATGCAGATATCCTATATAACATAATATTTTATAAGAAACTGACTGGAAATAGAATTCTGTTCGCAATCAAAATTGTAAGCTCTCTGGCGCCCTTGATGAAAATATTTCTACTGGCCTTGTGCAATGAACGTGTGGAAAACTTTACTCAAGAGTTGAGACAGCGACTTTTTCGCATCGAATTATTGCATTGGCAATGGGTTCATTCCGGCGTGGAGCTCGCTGTGGGAATACCCCTGACCAAGCTCCTCAGCAAAAGGGTGCGTATGTGCAGCAAGCTGAAGGGAATATCCTTAATTCACATTTTCTTTATTCTACGCCAGAACTCTAGCTTTTACCTGCAGCTGCTTGTCGAACAGTTTCGAATATATATTTGGAATATGCGACAGGCCATGAACCTAAAATTTCTACTCTGGTTTCTATGTTTAACTATCTTTAATGCCATATCTCTGTTGCACTATCGGAAGCTATATACGGAGCAAATCTAACTATGCTTTGTCAATATTAAATTAATATTATGCTTAGATTTAAGTTAATTAATGTATTTTAAACATTTGGGTTGACGCTTAGTCTTACAACTAATAAATACTCTGTAATCTCATGGAATTAGAAAAAAAGTTGTGAACTAGTCGACTAGTAGATACTCTATACACTCATACTAAAGTAAGGTTAGGTGCATAAGTCGACTAATAGATACTCTGTACTCTCATGGCACTAGACTTTGCATGAAGCAAGGTAAAGTGAATAAGTCGACTGATTGATACTCTATACTAAGCTACAAAACTAAAAACCCTATATGCCTTTCATTGCCCTTACAAAGTTTTTCTAGAATTTTTTAATTTTTAGGTTAGATTTAAAAAAAAGAAAAGTTTTATATTCACCCGAACCTAGAAAAGCTAAAGTATATCACTTTAAAAAAAAAAGAAGAAAATCGACAGTTATCGATTTTAGGCAGATGTAATGAGCTGTCGATATAAATATATATATATAATACTTAGTCTCTGGCATTACTTTATGATAACCATTTTGGTAAATTTCCAATTAGGTATAGGGTATTAAAGAATGCGTGTCACCTTCTTAACATTAATTCATTTTCCCTTTTTATAAGATGCTTTCTGCAGAAGCAAAAAAGTGTTACTCAAATTAACTTTTATTTTTGGTATTTATATATGTGTATATATATATATTTTTTTGATCAATAAATATGTTAGCATGCACATCGAATGCATTTAATACTCGTACTTGCTGAGCTCAGTGAGAATAATTTAATGGATGCGCGACTCTGGCAACTCTCTTAAGGTATTTCTTGATGTTTTCTTAAGGCATGTCGATTTTTAAAGAGTTGCATATTCAAGCTATGAAAATGCTGCTTAAAGTACTAAAAGACTTAAGATTAAAGACCCTAGACTATATACGTATGTTGTGGCCGCGGGGCTCACTTCATGTGCGGCGTCGGCGGCGTCAAGAGGGATAATTTCTCAAACTTGGGCACGGTCTGGACAGCTGCGGGCAACTCAATCAGCTCGGCGTCTGGATTGTACGGATAGTTGGGATTGGCGGCGGCCACATCGTTAACAGCAATATCATTGGACAGATCGACGGGCGCAAAGTTCTCATAGATGTCAATGTGATTATTCAAATCGTTGCCGGGATCCGCAACAGCCGCAGCATCGGCATCTGACTCGGCATCCGCCTCCAGTGTGGCCCATTCATCGTTGAAGGTGTCGCTCATTTCGACGGGCGTCGCACGGCCATCCTCCTCATCGTCCGAGGACTCCAGCTCCTCGCGTTCCCTATACAGCTGCGGCTCCGACTCCGGCTCAACGACCAACTCCCTGTCCGATGCGTCGCCAAAGTTTTCAATGGCCACCAAGGACTCGGCCTCTGTCGCATTATGACTGTCGCCGTCGCCGTCGTTGTCGCCGTCTGGCAGCGGCATTTCCGTTTCCTCATTATGCGCCATTGTGCCGGCATCTTGAGCTGCGTCCAGCTGCTGCTCCTGCTGCTGCTGCAGCTCCATCTGCTGCTCCTGCCGCTGCACATCTTCCATCAGGTCGGCCATTATAGTCTGTTCAGTCTGTTTGATGTCGGACGCTTCTGCGAGGGTATCTTCAATGGGCGAGCTGGAGGCAAGTGTGCTTGTGGCTGTAGTTGCTTTTGTTGTTGTTGTTGTTGTTGTTGTTGTGCTTGTGCGCTGTGTGTGTAATGGAGTTGCGGGTGCATCGGTTGGAGTGTGTGCGTTCGTGTGTGCGTGTGTGTGTGTGTGTTATGTAAATAAATGGAATAAAAGTTTGTATTACTTTCGAGTTTGCCAATTATGTGGCTAGTTTTTAGTACAAGCAGTCGCCGCATGCAAATTAATTAATTTAAAATTGAAATCCATGTATCCATTGCCGACGCTTAGATACCCTAAATTTGTTTATATCAGAAAAACAAGAAATTATATCCAAAAATTTCATATAAAATTCAATTTCTTTATATGAAGTTCAATATTTTGTCCGATAGCTCTATATATAGCATCAATATGATAAAGCGAATGAGTATATATATACACAGTTACACAGCTTATGACAAAACTCTAATGCTCTCTAACATACTCTGTTATTCTTACAACAACTTACAGACAAGACGCAGCTCTGTTACGCACGCACCGAAAGTTCCAACTAATTTGCTGTTAAGCAAAGCTTTGACTTTTATACATAGGTTAAACTACTGCGCGGCTGACTCATACGTGAGAGCAGATTGTAAGCTGTGATTTAACAGACAAAGAGAGAGAGATAGTGCGTTAGCAGCAGCAGCGGCGCTGTTAAGCTCGCAGCATTGCTGTTACTGAGCTGATTTCTAAGCTGCTCTCCCATTCTCGTCTGATCTGTTCTAACGCACGCTATTTAACCCGCTCACACGCGCATACATGCGCTCTCTCACTCACTCTCGCTTTTGTTATACCACATTCATTTACATTTCTGCTTAATATGCGTTGCCTCACGCATGAATCACCTTCGCGTCTGATAACATTTCGTTGATATTTATTTATATACCTTGCCGAATACAATTAAGCATGCAAGCAGCTAAGCGCCCCCGGCCTGTCATTTACACAGTTTTGTTGGTCACTCGGTCGAACGCTGTAAACGTGTGACGTCACAAGTGCACATATTATTATTGCATTTGACAGCCGAAATGCGAAATATTTCTTCTATTCTCAGTTTTCGACAGACGTCTGCCCTGTAACAAATTGCACAAATTCGCAGAAATTTGTATTAATAATACAAAATACGAAATGCGCATTAGCTGTCGCAGCAGCGCTCAGTTTATTTTTGTATATTGCGCTCACTTAAGTCTTGAGATGATTTTATTATTATAACGAATGTAGGTGTTACCTACAGAAGATGCTCAGTCACAGTCGAGAAGATTGAGTCACGTTTTAATAATTGTTTCCGGGGAAATTCTTGAGAATTGACTATCTGATAAGCTAAGATTTTATTTGCGCATAACTGAGAGATATCGCTTGCAAGTCGCATGACGAAAGTCATCTTTTGATGTGAAAGAACTTTGCCTAAACCGAAATTTCAGTATAGCAAAATGTAGCTCAATGTTTTGAAATTGTTTATAAATAAAATATAAAAAATTTTGAAATAAGAAATTTAAAACAAATTTCTTAAAAAAAGAAGATTTCTTCTAAAATAATAAAAAATGATAAGAAAATAGCCAGCTGAACTTTAAGGTTTTGCACTCTTAAGCAGTTTTTGTGCTAGTAGATCTTCTGAAATTTATGACCTATGCTTAATATGGGGCACAGCCCCCCCCCCCCTTGGCCATCCCTTGGACAGCCCTCCCCCCTCACATATGAAAATTTCTTCGCAGTTTAACGCTCTATTTTACGCTGCATATTTGATGTGTTTTTGTGGCAGTTCACAGTTCCCGCTGGTTTTTTTTTTTTTTGCTCATTTCACGCACACTTTGTAGCACGCACACAACTGCTTCAGGGTCCCCCTCCCTGCCACTCTGGTAAGACCCCTTAAACATGAGTTTTAACCAGCGCACACATAAAAAAGCGCGGCGCATAACAAATTGAAATGCAAGTGCACAAAGTAATTTTTACAAAGTTATGAAGGGCTTTGGCAAGTCGACATATGTACATACAAATATATATTTATATATCGTATATATATATATATATATATATATATATATATATATATATATATATATATATATATATATATATATATATATATATATACGATTATTGCATATTTGTGCAGTTTTTTAATAGGAAAATATTAATAAAATATGGCATTTGGCTGGTTGGTGCCACAGCGACAGGCAAATTGTTTAACAAGCTTCAACAGTTTTGCAATATTTCTGCAGGAGTTGGCCAGCGGGGTGGGTGGGGTGTGGGTGTAGGTGTTGGGGTGCGTTACTTTATATTAATATTTATAACCATGCATTTTACAAATTCAAATAAATGCATGAGCCAAGTTTGGGTTGCCAAAACCGCAGCTTTCAATATCCGCGTGAGAGTTGAAAACAAACCAAAAACAAAAAAAAAAAGTAAATAAATAAAAGTAAATAATACAAAAAGCAGTTGCATAAATTGAATAAATTTGTACGCGACTTGTGCAATAGTTTTTCCCAGCGGAAAAGCTACCCCAACAGCAAATGTTTTCCATTGTTTGCAAATTTAACATTTTTTGTGAATATATCGAAATGTTGACATGTCGCACTTATGCTTTAAAGCTGTTCATAATTGCGCTTTCTACTGTTTTTTTTTTTTTTTTTTTTTTTTTTTGTTTCTGGTCATTTATTAATTTTGCGCTGATTTATGTCATTATGAGGGGGGGGGGGAAAATATGCAAAAAAAAAAAAAAAAATTGAAATTGCGACACGCAAAATGCTCGCAAAGTCGCGTGCTCGTCGAATTCGATACAATAAATTCTCATAAATACAGCATGGGCATGGTCACGCCCACCGGCGCAAGCAGACGGCCAAGACAAGGATTTATGCGCTTGGCGCACATGACTTTTAATATAAATTAATTTTTATTATGGCTAAAAGTAATTAATGGACTTGAAAAACCGCATATATGATGCATGTACCGTTAAATTGCTGCAACAACTGTAACGTGTCGTGCGAGTGGGCGTTGGGGGTGTGGCAAAAAGCTCATTTATAACGCAAGCCAGATGGCAAGCTTGTTACAAAATTAACTGGACACATTGCATTTGAAGGCACTTCTAAAAAAAATCGTTTTTTTCTCAGCAACTGGGCGCAAAAGATTATTTTTCGAGAGCTTTAAGAGTTTATTAAAGCTTTCAAAGTTAAAAGCTACAAAGAGTAATTAACGAAATATCAAAGAGCTTTAAGGAAATGGGTATATTGCAGCCATCTTATTAAGCAAACACTTTCCATAGATCATTAAAGCTTTATTTGAAAAGTTTGTTTAAGCTTTATAAACTAGTAGAAAAACGTTCAACGAAGAACAATTAATAAAGTTATTTAAATCAAAGAATTCAGTTTAAATGCTTGTTAATACTTGAATTGCTCCATTAATTAAAGCTTTATATAAAATACTTTAATGTATTTTCAAAATCCATTCTTTATGAGCGAAATATGCCAAAATTCAGACGGCTAGCTTAAAAAATAATTTAATCTGAAATTTTGTAAACGCATCGAAGATCCCCTCAATAATGCAATTAATTTGTGCATATTTTATAGCCCAGACAGCAATTGTCATAGCAATGAGAGGATGGGAACCTCATTTGCCAATTTTTTAGGTTAATATATAATTTGTTTTTATGCACCCCGTTGACACATAATAAAATGTATAATTTGTTTGCATTAATAATTTGGACGCAATGAAGTCAATCCGAAAGCAAACAAAAAACGCACACAAAAAAATGGCAACTCTCACACATCTATTACGCAAATATGTAAATTACAATGTTAAACAGCAACAAAAGACAAGTTTGCTTGCCTATTAGAAGTTATAGATTGGGAAATACCCAGTAAAGAGATATGGAGATGAATAAAAATCGATATTTATCGATATATGCTTTGATAACCGCCGACTACTAAATTTCCCTCTATCTATAGCACATTGTTGTTGAATGGTCTGCAATAACCTACTTTGAAATACTACAGGGTATACAAGAGAAGAAAATCGAATTGTAAAATCTTGGAAATCGATATTTATCGATATATGCTCAGATAATCACCGACTTAATGCTGATGCGATCTCTGTTGCATACTGTTCCTTAATTCAAACGCACCCATTTGAAATTTCTACAGGGTACATAAAGCAAAAAATTGTATAATCTTGGAAATCGATATTTATCGTTATATGCTCAGAGAACCATCGAATTAATACTAATATGATTCCTGTTACATATTGTTCCTTAAATTCAACAAACTTCGCTCAAACATTTAAAATTTCTAGAGGGTATACAAAAGTAGAAAATCTAATTGTACAATTAAACATTTTGTCGTGTTAATAAAATATTTATGATTGCGGTGGCTGCCGGTTTATTGACCAGGCAAATAAACAAAACTTAATTATGGTTTCAGCAGCTGCAAAAAATAAAAATTATATACAAAATGTTGAAACAATTGAAAATTTAAAAATAAATAAATTGCACAAAACCAAACGCAAATTAGCAACGCTTTTAAGCCAAAGCCAAAGCTTTAAATCAAATGGAAATTAGGAAAACTTTTAAATTAGAATTGTACGAAAATAAACCACAGCCAAAAAAAAAAAAAGGCCACAAACCAGTTGCATTAAGATTAAAAATTACATAATAAAATAAACATTAGCATTAGTCGTAAAAGCAGGCAAAAAAAAAAATAATAAAAGCTTAGGTACTTCTTAGTTATTGTTTAATATATATATACAAGTATATATAATTATTTTTAGTTTAATGCAAAACTTTATTTGAAAAATTATATTAGAAATTGTTTTTTAATATATATTACAAGTTTACATAGTCGGCTCAATATACATGTTCTTTATATATATATATATAGTATATATAGTATGTATATAGTGTAGTATATAGTCGGTTAGTAGAGCTCTACGCAGCATCGTTTATTTTATTATTATTTTTTATTTTATTTATTTATTTTTTTTTGTTTTTATTGGCAAGGCATTTTGCAATCATTTCCTGGTTAGATGCGCTTTTATCTTTTTTTTGTTTTTTTTTTTTCAAAGTTTGCTTTGAAATGCTGTAAAAAGCTTTTATACCTGAGGCTCATCGATGTCGCGCACCTCGTTGTCCTTGGGCTGCTTCTCGAGCGGCTCACGGCGATCGTTGTCCTCCTCGGAATCATCCAATTCGTGGCGCTGCTGCGGCGGCGCCGATGTGCTGGGCGAACTTACCGGCTTGAAGTCACCGTGATTATTGATCACGCCCTCGGCCACCTGCTCGCCGCTCTCCAGCGGGCGCACATTGACCAAACGCACCTTGAACGAGCTGTTCGCGTCACCGTAAACGGTCTCATTGATCTCGACCTTGTGACCATTAACCACCTTGTTTGATATATAAAAGCATTGGATTAAATTGAATTGAGCGTCAGACTTTGATGTTGCCTCACCTTAACCGTCGATGTGGTATTACCATTCTTGTCGCTCAGCGTTGTCAGCGGTCGCAGGCCAAAGCTGAGGGGAGTTAGGGACTCGGACGAATCGCCGGAGCCGGCAATCTCATCTGAGTCCACGGCGATGGGCCAGAGACGGGCGCGCAGACGGCGGAAAATGTCTGCAAAATGGGAATGCATAAAAAATTTTGTTGTCTGTGGTATAATTTAACGCCAAAACAAGCTAACAGGGCATAGTCTAGTCAGCTATACTCGACTAGTAGATACTCTGTACCAAGCAGAACGGCCTATAATTTGCATAGTAAAGAGGCTGGCAATGAGTAAAAGTTAAATGGCATACATCAATCGATATTTATCGAATTGGGAGGACTGCGGTAAATTGTTCTATATAAATTTGTTGTACAGCCAGCTTTTAAAGTAAAAATCCGATAAAAAACTTGAATTATAAATCGATATTTATCGATGTGAGAGCAGCAAGCAACATTATCGAACGTACACTTGATCTGTGACTACAATTTCCAGAGCTCTTTCTATTATGTCTAAAACTCTTACGATAATTATCGATATCATACCTGCGAAACAGATCGTTTAACAATATGTTTTTATGCGTCTGGTGTATGGCAAGCTAAATTTCGCAGTTATTCTTCTTAACTCTCATAATAGTAGCCTGCAAAGCTCAGATAATCGATATTTATCGAAAACTCTGATCACTGAAATAGAGAACTATGGCTTTACACTTCTTTGCTGATGCTTCTCAAGTATTGAGATACTTAATACATTCCGAAACGTTACCTCTTGCATTCATTTGCCCAACTTCCTGATACCCTTTTTAACCACTTGAAAGTACAGGGTATTATATTAAGAGCAAGGCCACTGTCAAACTGAAAAAGGTACCCAGCTACAAAGGCGAACCGCGCTGGGAACTGACGCAGGTGTTGAAAAGTGCCAAAATGCCAGCTGAAATCGACTTGGTTCTTGTTGTTGTCATCTCTTTGATGACGCCCAGACGGCAGACGCCTTTTGCCTAGCTAATGCGTTTTTCTGTTTAAATTCCGTAATCCGTAAACGCACTAAAAAATAAAAATACGAAAAAAAAAGAAAGTGCTTTCTGTGTCGCCGTCTGCTTGTTACATAATCCTCTTTGACACGCCCCCTGTCTACACATATGCTGTCACATTTCTCACTCTTGCTTCTGTCGGAGGGTTAACATTTTTTTTTCGTCTTGTAGCCAACCTTGTCATAAATACTTGACCGCATTGTTTGCCCGGCTTTGGCATGTTACAATTCATTTGCTTGTTGCATTCTAATGAGTTTAAAGCGTGCCTCAATTGCTTGACCAGCTCGACCAAATGGTTGACATCATTCTAAAAGCGGCAACCTTTGAACTTTGTTGAAGGTTTTCTTTTTCTTTTTTGTCATATATATTCCACTTATATATCGCTTTACACTCAAAACTTTAAAAGATTGAATTGAATTGTGTAAAAATGTGGCAATGCCGTCAAATTGGCAACGCCGTCATTTGAGAGTTGCCAGCTCTTATAAGGTTTATATTTTATTGCTAAGGCATTGCCAACTGTGCAATAAAGTTTTCAAAAGGCAACACTGCTCATTCATCTTGTCAAATATTTAACAACTAGCTTAGCAGACAGCTAGTCAAATTTAACAGTATTAAAAGTGATTTTCAGCCTTAAAAAACTGCTGAATAACAGTTCAGCATTTGCCTTGTCTTGGCCTATGTCTATGTTGGCTCATAAAAAACGTACACCAACTTTTTCGCAGTGTTGGTTAACACTAAAAATCATAGAAGTTTTTCTTTCAGTGCTGTTGTTATTCACTTGTTATCTTTGAAGCTGATGCCAAATAAAAGTTTCTTGCATATAAAACGAGCCATTGGCTTAAGAACTTTTTGTCAGCGTATTAGTTAGCAAAAGATTTATGAAGTTTGGCCACTTCTTCATCCCTAGTTAAGAAGCAGCATTTTATAAATGTTTTCCCTCCTCGTCTTTCTTTATTTTCTTTCATTTTTTTTTTGTTTTTTTTTTTTTTTTTGCCAAAGGCTCAAACTTTTCACTTTTAATGGTCAACAGAGTTTTGTGACCCAGCACATGCATATCAATATAAATATAAGAAATAAAGACAAGTACAAGGCAAAAACTTTGACTGGGCCACAACAATTTTGACATAATATTTTGATAAATTGTTTACATTTCTCCAGTACACTCTCAAGCTCAACTGTGTGACGAACTTTAAACTTCAGTGTATTCAAAAGGATCTGCCCAGCAAGAAATTGCAGGCAAAGCCTGGCGACTAATTGGCTGGCTTAACTGGCCACTCGGAGAGTATTCCAAATGTATTCTGGTTAGCCTTAAGAGCTTTTTATACCTAAGAGGGCTGAAGGCTCACGAAAAAAATCTCAATGAAACTTTGTATGGTTGTACCTTTTTACGATAAAGTAAACTATATTATATAGTTTATATAGTTTATTTATACCCTTGCAGAGGGTATTTTAATTCAGTCATGAAGTATGTTACGCATAGAAGGAAGCCTCTCTTGCTCTATAATACCCAAGATGTTGACCAAAGTCAATAATGCACTTGAATCCTATCAACATTGGAACTAATATTAGTGCATATTTTCCCAATGCAAGTGTGTTTAAGCTTCGACTTTCTGAAATTATCCAAATAATAAAAATCTCTCATCATGTAATAACCATAACAATGAAAAGCATGCATTAAATGCATGCCGTACTTGGTAATTACTCGTATCTGCTGGACTAATGAGGGGAATGGCAAGGAGGGTGGGGCAACATAAAATTGTAATTAAATGCAATTGCAGATGCGTCACGTGGCAGCCACAAGAAAAAAAAAAAAAACAACAGATGTTAAAAACTCACCATCAAAGGAATGGGGAATGCCCAGGTTAAAGTGGAAGACAGACGGATCCGGTTGCAGGAATGGAATCTCAGCGCCCGTATCGATTACGCCCTTAAAGTCACGAAAAGCCGGATCGCTTGCTGTGGGCCGAGCCTGTGGCACGGCAATCACCTCCGCATCGTCCTGCGGACTGTTGCGGGCTGCAAGGAATGAAAAAAAAAAAACATATAAATATATATTAAAAATACAAATAAATATTACGCGTAATTATAATTAAAAAAGCGCAGTTAAAACGCGCGCCGTTTGGCCATAAATTAGCCGCTGAAAATGCGTCGAATTAAGCCAAATCAGCAAATTCGTAAGCCAAAAACCGCAGAGCTCAGAGACTGCTTAAGCTTTCTCTGGACCCGCTCGACCCTTTGTGCTAATCATTTAGTGGCCTCATTAGCGCTTATTAGAGTTTTCATTTTGCATAATTTGCCGCGCTCTGCGGATATGCCCTATAGGAAAATGGCAGGCTCACCTTTCCAGTATCGAGCTGGGCTGGGCTCGGCTGAGCTTGGGGGCGGCAGCTGAGAAATGCTGATGAGAGCCGCACATAAAATTATTCATAATTATATATGAAGCTGCCAGCGTTGTCTAAGCTTTATAGTTACATTTAAGACCCAAATTTGAATGAATTAAACGATTTGCAGAATTTGGCAAAACTCCAGTTGTATTTATGTTATTTAACTATCTTTGAGCCACCAAAATAAAAATTAAACTGGAAGATTATAAGAGCTACAGACTTCATTTGTAGTGTTATTTCAATAACTCTCGCTGTTTCCCAAAATCGATAAACTCTATAATATATGATATATTATATAAATCTATCTTTAGATCTACTAAATAACAATAAATCTTGGAGATTATAAGAGCTACAGACTTCATTGGTATTGCCTAGACCTTTATTTTGTTGTTTCGATAAACGTTTTCCAAATTTGATGAGTGCCCATTAATATTATACTTATCTATCTTTGACCATAAGAATCTATCTTTAAATATACTAACTAATAACAAACTTGAGAAACTTTAAGAGCTACAGATCTCATTTGTAAAGTGTATTTTATGCAAAACAAGTTTACTTTGTTGTTTCGAACATTTTAAACGTTGTCCAAAATCGATAAATATCGATAAATATTCTATAATATTAATAAATATCATATTTGGCATTTATTTTGGATAGTTCTCTTCGTTTGCCGATATATATATATATATATATATATATATATATATATATATATGCCAATACTTTTAAGATACGTCTTTAAAGCTCCTTATTTAGATCAATATCGATTTAAAATGTCCTCTCTGAGATCACAAAAGCTATGAGATATCAAGCAGAAACGACATATCAAAAACATTTTTATAATTTTATAAAAGCTGGAAATTGTTTTAAAAGAAAGTGAATTTTTCATAATATTGTGTTTCACATAACATATAAAGGTTAATCAAGTGTCTCAGCTGTAGCTCACTTACTTGCTTATTAATATTGCTTTCTAACCATACGAAACGCCCATATTTAATGGCAGGAAATCGCTTAAGATCTTGAAACTGGGCCATGGCTCTATAATAAACCATCGTCTACAGCTGTAGGGGTAAATAAACAACTGCTTGCAACTGTCACACAATTCACATGGTTTCAGGCAGCCTTCGCTTCGGTCCACAGATAAATCTGTCCCTCTGGCCATGTGGCACTTCATAAATCTCAGCAGCTGAGACTGACGCACAGCATACAACAAGTGGCAGCAAGAAAAGCAGGAAAAACATGTCCAACGCAACCAACTAACGATGTTAAAAATAAGTCCAGCCAAGTTGAGACTTGACTTGGTATGAAATGCGATATGCGAGACGATTTAAAAGCTGCGTAAAATGCGTACGCAAAATGCAAAACGTACGTGACCCCTGGACGCAAAACCCCTTTTTTGTTTGTGCCCAGAGGAGGTCACAAAACGAATGCACTTTTTTTTTGTAAGCCGATTTATAAGTAAAGCACACGGCACACTCGCAATATGTTTGGTTTACAAAGCAACGAAAAGAAAAGGGGCAAAGTATGCGCTTTTTATATGCATGGGGGTTGACTCTGATGCAACAGAAACATAAACAAAATGCCGACTGGGGTCGCACATATGAATGTCATTTACAAGTGCAAATATTTACCTTTTGCGGCGCATACGAAAGTGGGCTACAGCCTGGCAAATATGCAGCGTGGAAATTTTAATGCATATGCATGACAAATATGAACGTTATATTCGGGTATATACACCTGTCAATAGGCAAGAAACTTTATTTCAAGACTTGCCCCACACACGATCTTGTTGAAGCTTTGGTATCTTCAGGACAAATCGTAAGCAGGCATGGTTCCAAAATTTCACAAAGCTAACCTTTAAATAGCGCCCCTAATCAAAAAATATACAATTGAGAACTCAAGTAACTCAGCTCCAGAGCCACAGATCATGCTGAAGCTTTGCTATCTTAAGAATGATCCCTAAAAATAAATATGTGCAAAATTTAATGATGCTAGCGCCAAAATTGAGCCTTTAATTGAGGAATATAAAGATGTTAACTCGGGTAACTCAGCTTCTGTACATACTATGCCAAACAAATATGCCCCATTCAGAGCACAAAAGCCAACCAGATTGTTGCACATACATACATATATAATATTTCATGGTTTCATGCAGCATACCTTGAGGGTGCGTTGTTGCCATGGCATTTGGTGCCAAACCAAATTGAAACATGCTCGAGAGGGGGCCACGTGCCAAAGAATTTATGAAAATGAAAATTGTGCAGCAAGTGAAATGTTTTGGGGTTAAGAGCACTACCCATGCCCCGTCCCGCCCCGCCCTCCGCAACTCCCACTCCTATGCTGGCCAATGCTATCCCCTATTAAGCCCAAAAGGAAAAAACACACACACAGTTATTAATCATGCGAATACTAAACAAAAGCAGGAGTTTCCCTAATGAAAATATCTACATGCCGTATTCATTAATTTTCCAATAATTAAGCCGTGCCCCCATGCAACTGTTTACCCTTCGCCTCCGCGCCACGACGCCCCCTTCCATCTGACCATTGTTTCGTTTTCTGAATTATGAAATTAATAAAGGCAGTTGGCGAAAATTCGCAGTGCTCGGCGCTTTTGTTCTAAACACAACGAATTTGTTGCTAATTATGTAAGGTTAACTGTATGCCCAAAAAAGGGGGGCGTGGCGCCAGCCCTGTCTACTTTTTTTTCCTACTTTTTCGCTGAGGCGCCACAAATGAAATCCCAAAAACCGTTGCTGGCAATCACTTGGCCTGCGTTTTATGGTGCTAATTGCCAGCAGGCGGAAAGTTAGAGGGGCGGACAGGGTAGAAGGGAGGACAGGGTAGAGGGGAGGACAGGGTAAAGGGGCGCTTTCGTTTAAGAATGGAGGCCGGCGTCCTCAACTGTGCGTCAATTAATTAACATAATTGTACAATTTTGCATAATTAACTAGGCAGCGATTTTTTCACTCTTGAGTTTTGTAGAGTTGAGTTGGAAATTTTTAAATTAATAATTGTGAAGAAATAACAAATTTTTAAATATCGCGCATATTTAAAAAAAAATTTAAGATGCAAGAAAAAAAGGAAACTCCCTTTTCTTCACTTTAACAAATTATTCAACAATTAGGTGAATTCCCTTTGCTGAATTCAAATTAAATAAAATAGTATTATTTTTAATTTAATCTTAAATTAAAAGTAAAATTATTAAGAATCTAAAGTAAGGATTAAATAATTATTGTTATTACATTTTTTTATTATTATTTATTTTTGTTTTAATATTAATGTTTATTATTTCTTTATATTTTTATTATATTATTATTTATTATATTATAATATCTTTTTCTAATTTTTTTCATTTCTTATATTTAAATGATCGAAGAATATTGTTTTAAATTGTCTCTTATCAAGTGAAAGGGTTTTATGTCATACAAGAAGTAATCATCCATATTAATAGATTCTTGAGTAAAACCAGTTTCTTCCCTGGACATTTAGGTAAATATTCTATATCTTCATTCAACCTCAATTTGTTTAAGTTTTAGTTTTGAATTCTTGAAGCTAAATGAATCTTTTTGTTAGTTTTCATTCATTTCTTTGCTTTCTTTAAAGCTCTTCTTTTAGAAAACGTTAAAACTAGATTCTTTTTTGAGATTTCACTCAATCATTTAGCTACTTGTGGCTGGACAACGTTTTAAAAGATTTACATATCCAACCAACTAACTGCAGCTCCAACTAACTCTTCTCACTCAGCGGCAATCATAATTACTTGCCATTTAGGACGAGCAACTCTTGTGGCAGCCTAAGCCATACTCTGTTCAACAGTTGCCTGAGGGGTTTGCGGGGCGGGGCGAGTTTGCGGGAGGGGAAGTTGGAAAAACATCCTGTAACTATTATGGCAACTTTTTACATTAACCAAAGTGCGGGCTATTAAAAATTCATTAATCGCATGCAACTGAAAAGCGAAATACATCATAAAAATACGAAAAGGCAAAAGTGCACGACCAGCAGATACCCTATATAAAGTAAACAAGTGCTCAGAGCTACTGTCATATATTTGTTTGATATACTGTCATATATCATGTGTGCTTCGCTTCTCAAACAACTCTTGTCTTTATTTTGGGTTTTAAGAACATTTTTTTATATATGAAATAAAGATTTAAAAAAATCAATATACAAAAATTCAAATCATTATCAAATAAATTACCGTCTCTTTAAAAAAAATTAAGAGAGTCGTGAAAAAAAACTATTAAATTTCTACTCAGAAATATTTAAGTACATTATCAACTGCCTGTTGCCGCAATATACCCCATTTTGTAGCAGTATGGCTGCAGGGTAACGGAAAACAAAAAAGCCGCATAGTAAAAAAGAAGAAAACTCGTTGCAAAAGTTTAATTGATTTGCGCGCAAAATTGTAAAATAATTGATAGAAAGAAGCGTTCAGAATTTAATGAGAATTTCGCCCGCAGAGAAAGTTGCGAATATTTACAAATTGCAATACGATAATTTTGAACTACAACCATAAAAAAAAAAAATTAAATAAAAATAAATTAAAAAAGAATAAAGCTTTTGTTATAGTTATTAATTAGAAAAGTTTTGCGGCCAGACTGCAACTGCACACGCACACGCACACGCAGACGCACAGAAAACGGAATTGTGATTTTGATTTTGCGTTTGATTTTCACTCATGATGAAAATATTGTAAATTGTAAATTGTAAATGGAAATTGGAAAATTCGGCAACTCTACAGCTCTATACACATACATGCATATATACATTTATATTGGTCAATCCGAGCCAAAGTAATTGGAAAACACATGCAGCGCATGGGCTTTTCCAGCTTTGCCAAGCCATATTGAATTTCGTGGCCACTTGAAAATGTTCAAATGTATTTCTCTCTCTGTGTGTGTGTGTGTGCGGTTGTGCGTGTGTGTGTGAGATTGTGAGGGTTAGACCGGAGCAACCGACACTTTTGGCCATCATTTTAATTACCATTTGGGGCTCACATTTGGCTAGATTCGAAAAACGCTATTTCATATTTTGCAGCAATTTGCCAGCCAAACGAGACGAGATTGAGCGCACAAAGCCAACACACACACCACACACACACACACACACATTTGATATAAATTATGGACTGTAGAAGTTGCCATAGCAGTTTGTAATTATCGTCACATATTTATTTGGTTACCGAGCATTTTGGCATTTGTTTGTGTCGCCGCGTTTAGCTCTCGTTTCATATTTCAAATGAATTTCGTTCGACTGTCATTTGAGTGATTTGTGGCTGGCAAATAATAGTCACAGTTAACTACTGTGCCGTATTTATGGCATCAATTGCGGCTGCATTTGAGCCCAAAAGCATAACAAATTATTAGCCAGCATTGCAAATATCTAAATAATCTTTGGGCATTAATAACCATTTCTTGGCAGCCAAAGCGAATCCAATTGCAATTTTCAATCGAAATGAAATAAAATTGCAAAAACAGGTTAGCTAAGATATGCAAAATACTCAGCATACGTTGGGTCGATTTAATAACAAGCTCAAGCTTTTTTTCAATGCAAAATAAGGTTTCACGAAACTATGTGAGAACTGAATCAAATACATACATAATATATTTGCCATAGCATCTCATTGCTCTGTAGCTTGCGTAAGCTTCCTTCTTTTAAGCAAAATCTTATCAAAGACCCAAGTATGCCATACAAATATAAATGTGTTACCTGCTCTGTTTTGGTTACCTTTAAAAACAAGCGCTGTACTTTGTTGCATGCCACGCTTTCTTTTTGGGTCAACTCTCGCTGCTGTCTGCCCGTTGCTTCGTCAAATTCCATCAATGTCTGCTGTTAATTATCCACACCAGCATCTCGTCTCAACTCTGGTATCAGTGGCCAGGCTTCTGTTGCTGCCGCTTATCACAGTGTCATGGTCTCTTTCACGCCGCTGCCAATCAGTCGGCGGCAGTCAGCGAAAGCCACAGTCACTGGCCCACAAGGGGCACGGGAATTTGCCACAACCTCGTCCCGCACCTACCCAACGCCCACCGCACCTTACACCCAGCTTGCGTTGAGTCGCGCAGATAACTAGAACTACGCCGCAACCTCTAATAGGCCACGCATCCGCAACAGAGACCCCGGACTCTGACCAGACGCAGCTGCTCCTCTTCTTCTTCTTCTTGTTGTCGTTGTTGTTGTTGTTGTTGCTTATATTATGCCTGTGCTGCGCGTGACATTAATCAAGCCTAGACCGAAGTCCCACATGCCATAGCCAGGGCAATCGCCATCGCCACCTGCATCATCATGCTCATCATCATCAACATCATCCGCATCGTCATTATCATCATCAACATCAGCCCCAGCGTAGGGTGACCGAAAAATCATTGTAGACATTTGTAATTAGAATTGATAGCAAGCAGGCAGCAGAGGCTTGCGAATGGGGCCAGGTGCGGGATACAAAGGGGGCAAAGCCGTGGGGCAGCTAACCCCAATTGCAGAGC